TGCCCGGTTTTTTGAAAATTATTGTATAAATACAAAAGGAAGAAAAATTACTTGACAAAGAATAAATTGATTGACAAAAATATAATTGGCCTATATGCCCTAATTACAATTTTCTATCAGTTGTTTAAAGTTTATTTTTTGGGGAACTACCGCTATTTCTATTTTTATTATTAGAAATTACTTGACAAAGACTAAAAACAGCGTTTTATTTTATTATCGGCATTCTTAACAGCCTTCTTGGTAAATTGTGAATTCTAACCTTGTTTCATAAAAGCGTCATTTTTTCAGTTACGATTTTGTGAAAAATATTATAATAATTAAAAATAATTTAAAGTACTTTGGTCATTAGTCTTGCAATATTTTTGTAATTTTTTCTTGTGCACAATTTCATCCGTTCACTATAACTTTCAACTTACTTGTTAATATTTTTGATGTATTTTTTACAAACAACATGACACGCTATAAATTGTTTTCATTACTTGTATTTTCTATTTATTATTTATATTTCAAATATTACTACAAATGCTCAATTAGATTTAAGTCACAACTCGAAGCTGGCCAATTTTTAATGATAAAACGTTTTTATTATTCAAAAACTAAAGTGTACAGTAAAAACTTTAAAAAGTGGGCTGGTGTGGTAATTTTGTTTTTTTTAAAAAGTGTAGATTTTTATCAATCAAACCTTAATTACCGCTATTTAAAAAACTTTATTTTTGGTTTCATTGAAAAGTACCATCTTTTGAGAGAATCCTCTTTTCAAAAGTACCGTTTTTGAAAAGTTTTACTGTATTTTGATTTGTGCACATTGGCGCTGTGTTGCATATTTTTTCCCTTTTGATTTCGTTTTAATTATTGTATTGCTTTTATAACGTTTTGATTATTATGGAGGTTTAATACTAAATTGTATAAAATGGAAGAATATTGTATTGTTTAATAATTCCTATATTGATACACATCTTTATATTTTGCTTTTTATATATTATTGAGTCAATAGTTGTTTGATTTTGTCAAAATCTCTCCAGTTATCTAATTTATATCAACATGTTTATCTTCAAAATGAATAAAACGATAAAACTTTTTAAGGTTAATTTTTTGATAATCGATGTATTTTCAAGTAATTCATTCCAACAATAATTGTTTACAAATTGACACATCATGATATCATGAAGACTTGAAACTTCAACTTGTTATTTTTTCTTCAAATTTGTTTATTTTATCATCTGTAATTAATTAAAATACCAAGTTAAAATTCAACTAAATTTTAATGATGAACATATTTACTCGATATCAACAATTAATCGAATTACTTTATTAAATTAAACTTAATTACGTCAATCATATCTAAAATGTATTTTAATATAAATAATGAAATACATTTTACTCAATATTTTAATCATAATAAAAATGTGAAACAATTGTTTTTATTTTTTAGTGTTAAAAATGATTTTCTTTGTTTCTAAAAATAGTAAAAATAATGACGATTTTATGGATAAGGAAAAACAACAGGGAGATAAAATAAATTTCAAAATAATAAAGAGGTCATACACTTTTTTGTTTTAATTCAACATAAAAATTATTTTTTTCATATAACCACACCTAATAAAAATATATTAAATTTAAATATCTTAGGTGAAAATTGCATTTTTTTACCTCTAATTGAGAACAGTGACGAATTAATGAAAAGAGTTTATATTGTTTTATTTTTTTATTTTTTTTGTGACTTCAAAATGTCTTAGTTTAAAAAAAGACTAAAAATTTTGGAATTAATACTTGAATTTTAAGGAATTTGTCTTACCATGTATCAACAAGCTCTATCGATATTGTGTCTAATAAGATAGTAAAAAACAACAATTTTAATCAGATAATAATTCTTTTGTGCTTTTTTCAATATTTTTTCAGGTCTAGCATTAATGTTACAATAATTACTCACATTCCTACTTATTACAAAACCAAGTTTGTGGTAAAAAGTATATTATTTTCTTCGAGAAATGTAGTAAAAATCCCCTAATGTTAATTCTCAACCCCCAATAATAATTACACTGAAATTCAAAAAACAGAATTTTGTCTTTTTTTTCTTTGTTAAGTGATTTTTCAGCTCTCTGTAAATATAAAGTGACTTCCCAAGGTGTGCAAGTTAAGGTATAGTTCATTTATAATTTTTTATTAAAAAAATAGAATCATTAATTTTTTGAAATTTTGAAAAAATAGATTATTTTTAGTTTAATTATTAATTATATTTTTGAAGTTATTACTAAACTATACTTTAACTTGCACACCTTTTGATGTTGCAATTTTAAACTTTCACACTTAGAATACAATAAATTAAGCGATAATTTATGGAAAGCGACCCGATGGAAATTATCGAAGGACCAGTTCTGGACAACAATACACATCGATTTGAGATAATGAACTGCACCTATTAAACAGACTATTTGTTATTGTTTGCTATAAAATGGCACAGAGAAAAACTTAATGTTTATCATACTTCTTTTTGTTGCTTTAAATTAAAATGAGACAAAAGACCCAGACAATTATTCACGTCTTAACAAAACAATTTTTACATTAAACACATAGACAAACCAACCCATTTTTTAAATTTTATTTTGCTTTTTTGTTGTTTATTACAGTGTTATTCACTGGGTTTTCAATTCCCACCATTTTCAAAAAATATTAAGTCAGTTTGTTAATTAGTGAGTCAATAAAAATTGTTTCGTCACATATTTAAATCAAACAACAGATGCAATTATTAGTCCAGCATAAAAAATAAATAGACCATGCAAAAAAATATTAATACCACCACAAATAATTTCAATATTATAATTTTTATATTTCATTCACAAAAATAAATAAACGCACCACAAACTTATATGTTCACGTCATTTAGAATTATTAAAGTTTTATCTGAATTATTTTACTTTCAACAAAAAAAATAAAAATTAACATAAAAACTATTTCAAAGTATAATGAACCGAGCATCAGTAGATTATGTTGGTCTCACAGATCCGGGTGAAAGAGCTGATTTTATAAAGTTGGCGCCTACACCTCTACCGGGTACTCCGCTTCAATCATTTGCAACCCAACCATTCATCCCTCCTCCAATACAACCAAATCCAAAAGGAAGACCAAATAGATTTGGGCCAGAACATTCAGAACACCGAAAGCACCAATACACCAAAATTGGGTTGAAACTCAAGCAACGGTTTGTTGAAGAGTTTAGGAAGAAACTTGATCAGAAACCAGAAGAATTTTAACAGACTTTTGGAATACCTATTCACTGCGCCGCTTTGCTGACAAAGTTGATGAAAGTGTGAAGTATATATCCTTTGAACCATTAAAACCGCATTACTCATTTCATTCACCTTGTTAAGCAGCATATTAAAAATTCGGCGACATCTACCATTGAGAAAACCAGAAGGAAAATGGTTGAAGTTGTCATAGTTGAAGGGATCAAAAACATGGAGGATGTAGAGTTTTTAGATGTCTCCACTCTTTTGACATTAACGGATAGATATAGGAGTTCAAAAGAAGATGAAACTAACCACAATTAATTCGAAGAAGCGTTATTAGAAACAGAAATGGCCGTTCCATCCGAATCAACCTTTTTGAGAATGGTCAAAGGACAAATCAAAGGAGAGAAATTCAAGGTTTTTTTCCTTTAAGAGAGTAACCAATCGATAAAATATAAAAGTAAAATATTTTATATTAATTATCATTTGAACATGAATGTTAATTATTTATTTATCATTCTGTGTCTTGTCATATTGGTAAATATGTGTGTGATTATCAAAAACTACATTTAA